ATTGGTTTAGTTTATTAAGAACTATCTCCCCATGATTTTGTGCTGAGGAATCTATGTCTAGACCAAAAACTAGCACATTGTTTTTGCGTACCACTCTCTCCAGCTGCAGGTTACGCTTCTCTAGCTTCTTATTAATGTTTACAATACAGCTAATCTGCACATTGTGTTGAGTAATAATTGCTAGAAGTTTAGAGTTTTCAGTTTTATGAACTAGTGTTTCATTTTCGATACATACTTGTAGATTCAATAGATTACTATCAAAATTACTCTGTTTGGATTTGAACGTAATGACAGCAGACTTTTTCGAATTAATGCATAGGCCGTGGTTCTCGAACCAGTTAAGTAAGTTGTTTAAGTCGGCAGCTATCATTCTGTTTGCTTCGATATACGCAGAGGGAGTGAATGAAAAATAAATCTGAGTATCATCATCATATGAGTGCACACGACAGAACTTGATGGAGTTAACTAGGTCTGAGACATACAATGTGAATCAAATCGGGCCCAAAATTGATCCCTGAGGGACACCTTTAGCCAGTTCCTTTTCATCAGAAAAACAATGCCCAACTTTGACCCTCTGTACGCGTCAAGTTAGATAGCTCTGGAACCAGGTAACTGATTCATGAGAAAATCCAAAGTAATGTAACTATGCTAGAAGCATTCTATGATTCAAACAGTCAAATGCTTTACTCAAATCAATAAAAACAGCACATGAACCATCAATAGCGCTCACATAGTCGTCGCAGAGGTCAGTTAAAACTGTAACAGTGCTGTGGTCTTTTCGTAAGCCTGATTGTCTATTCGGAATTAACTTATTTCTTTCAATATAAGCTAACACTTGTTCATTAACAATTCTCTCAAGTATCTTAGATAAAAGCGGTAGAACACTAATAGGTCTATAGTCTCCTGGAGTTTGTGGATTATCATTTTTATGTATTGGTCTCAATCTAGCTGCTTTCCATTTTTTTGGTACGCATCCACATTCTAGCAAAAAATTAATAATGTGCGTTAGAGCTTTCACACAAAAAGGTAGAACGTATGAAAATATATTAATATTAAGCCCATCAAGGTCTGTTGCGTGCGACTTGATTTCATTAAAAATTTCAAGAATTTTTTCTTCAGTAACAAGGTGAAGCTTGAACGGCTCAGTAACAGTAGGGATAGTATAGTGTAGATAATGGTTATATGTACTATCATCAATGGGCTTCTCGGGCACAGCATTTACGAAAAAGTCATTTAATGAATCCGCTCCGATTGAATTTACAAATTCATCATTGCTATGTGTCCCATGAATGCCAAGTCGTTTGATTGACCTCCATCAGTCCCGAGAAGACTTACTTATCTTAAGCTGATGCTCAATATAGGCTTTTTTTTACCGTCTTACCAAAACAGAACTTGCACAATGGAATATTGCACTCCTCGCAAAGAGTTTTGTTCTTGTTTGTTTTTTCTCTCCAGAACATCTAGTGGATCTTCTTCTTGTTGATCCCTCCACAGGAAGATGTAATGCTGATGCACCATATAATTTTCTTTTTCTTGAAGGGGCGCCTTGTTTTGGTAATGGTAAGCTTGTATTTTGTATACCTTCAGATATTAATTCTTTTGCAAGTGTGGTGAGGAAAGAAAGAAAAGAAATATTCTCATTTTTACGTCTCATTTCAACTTTTTCCACCACTTTGCTGATTTTCGGTCATGATCATATAGCCCAATGAATTGATCTGCCCGATCAACCACTTGCATTTTTTTTCTGTAAAAAGATATGGCCTCTGGACATTGGATATTTTGTTGTTCACCGGTTTTGCTTTTTTTGATAATTGTTGTCAAATTGGGCTTATGACAGTTACTCATCAGCAAAACTTCCATTGTGTCCTGCCACTTTACATAAAGTAATCCCGAAGAAGTGCATCTGAATTGAGATTCCCCTTTTTGCAGCTTGTCTCCCATAGTTGGTACGTTCTTGCGATTGGACTTGTAAGTTCCCAAGGCTGCATAGTCTAGTGTAAGTAGCAAATTCACGCTTGTAAAAAAGCGATCAAAACATAACACTACGTTATTTTCTTTGACTGTAGACGCAAGGGCTGTTACGACTCGCTCTCCCAGAGTTAGTGATTGATTTTTGGCGGGAATTGGGTCCTCTTTTCTAGAATATTCGTTAACATCATACGTATAGCCCGAATCTGTATCGCAGCGAAGCCATAGTTTTATGCCCCTCTTGGTTGGTTTGAGGGGCATATATTGTTTCAAAGAAGATCGACCCTTGAATTTGGTCACAGATTCGTCAATACTTTGATAGTGGCTATCCTAGCGACACTTTGAAAACGTGTATTTGAAACAAGATAACAAATCTTCAATATAATGTTTTTGAAGCATTTGGGGGTTTCTGAGAAGAAACAAAGTACATTTTTGGGCTCAAAGTCATGTATCGATCTCTTGAAAAAGTTTTTTGAATTGTGCTATTTCCCATTGACTCCTTTTTACTCCAATAATTTTTCAGGCTTGGAAGGCGATTGTAGCACATAATGAACATGCAGTCAATTAACTTCTGTATTTCTCCTTTGTCAGTCATGTTCTCATTCCTCCTTTTTAATTGGTTTATGATTTTTAGGCGTTCATTTGTACAATTTGCAATGTGCAAATAAAGAGAATGAGGAAATACGTTATGAAAAATCTGCATAGGTGTCAACTGCTTGTGATATCTGGAGCCAGCTTACATTCTCTTTCAGGAGGAAGGATTTTAGCAGGCTCAAATGTTTCATCAGGAATGACCTAGTCAAGAACATGGTTTCTACCAACAGTTACCTGTGGTGAAGGCGCAAAATGGATGTCTGAGTTAGACATATCGTATCACTGCCTGCTTCATCATCGGAATCTGGTTCATAATTGTCACTGGAGTCAGCAGGAAATGGTTCCGAATCTGAGATTTCTTCAATATCTTCAATAAGCGCTTCCAGCTCTTTTTGTGCAAGCGGATGGCGGCGATCCATATTGAAGCTGAAACTGAATAAACGTAATTAGAGACATGTGTACCACTATAAATACCGGATGGTACGTATATGTACCACATGAATATTACACGCAAAAACACCAAAATAAAACATAGTTTTGACCTACCTTTGTAAAAACACTAATTACAGTTGAGTAGCAAATAGAACTTCATCAAAAAACTGCATAAATAAGCACTTTGAGTGACCTAAATAACTAATTTTATTAGAGTAATACTGCCGCTACTACATACAGGTGCTAACTAAATCGACAAAATCACAAAATATCCACAATGCATGTTGTAGGTACCCTGCGGAAGCCTGATACACCGGACCGCTACAGATTTATACCAAATAAAATGCTTCATTTCTCAAGCAGGGATTTTTAAATTTGCCTGGTACATATGGGTACCGTTCGGGACGAAAGTGTTAAGGCATATTAGCAAAAATTTCAGACCAATAGATCGCTCTAGAGGCTACTAACATCAAAAAAGTGTTTATTCGTAAATATTTTTTTGGCAATTTTAGTCAAGCATTTTTGAAAAACTGCATAACCGTGATTTCCACAGATTTACGAAACCTCTGAGAAAAAACTTTCTAATTTTATTCTGACGAATGTGTGGTTAAGTGATGAGAATTTTGCAAACTTTAAACTTTACTGTATGTCAACGCTTTCTTGCATTCTTTCCAGATCTACTAACAGAATGAAGATTTTTGCCCATGAAAATCGCTAAGATTCAGAAAAGCCGCATTCTTACCGTTTCTACTCCATTTTTTCCTGATAAGAGGTTATTATTTTTACAAAAGAACTGAAAAGAATGTAAAAAGCACATATATACAATGTTGTATTGTGTTAGTAAAGTAATCTTTTCCTGACAAAAAGTCCAGAATTGAATAAAATCAGCGAAAATGCGGTTTTCCTTATTTTCGGGGAACTGAATTAAAATTTTGACTGGGACCTGAACGGAGTGAGACAAATACAAATACATGTTGGGTTTCTGAGCTAGCCATCTTATGATATCCTACGTTGAAAGTGAATCTATGAAAATGTGGTTCTTCCGATTTTAGGCGATTTTCCTTATTTCAACAACGGAACTAAAAAGAATGCAAAGGAACATCTATATACAACGAGTAACTGTGATAGTCAAGTACCTTTTTGTGACAAAGGATCTCAAAAAATTGACAAATGTCAGCGAAAATGCAATCTTACCAATTTTCACAATTTCTGGGAGACAGATCAAACTTTGTACTATGAATAAAAATACATGTGTTATTCGAGCTTTCAAGTTAGCCAACTTATGGCATTCTAAGTTCAAAACTTGAGAAAAATGGTGAAAATGCGGGTTTTCTGACGATTGTTTGAAAAAAAATTCAACAATTAGTTGATATAAAAAGAACTTATATTGGAATTGGAATTGGAATTTTAAAAAATATTTTTTCGAAGCTACATGTTCCACAAATCTATAAAAAATCGGGGTCATGAAGGATATGTCAATGTAGAATTGCTTTTTTTAACTTCTTGAGCTTAATTGCGCTCGTAAAAAATTATTTCTGAAACACACGTATATTTTAATTTGGATTGATCTATATTTGGATACCTTAGAATACTATACAAAGAACGAAACAGCTTTGTAGGTTCAGAGGTTCCTAATCATTTTGGAAAAAACTAGGTGTAACAATAGGGGATGTAGAAGAGTATATCTCAATTAACTGCGCCATCCATCACCAGAATCGACTACGCACAGCTCTTATTTCTTGGAACTCTAAAGATCTCAGTTCGCGGTAAATAACCCTGTCGCCATATGACCCCTAGATGGCTGACGATTCTGGCTATACAGTAGATGTGATCGACTTACCATTGAATAAACTAATAAACTAATATAGTGGCAACTTTGGTATAAAGTGAGCGGCTCTTCTTCGAAGTTGGAGGTACCAAAGTGCCAGAAGGGTACCGCTTGCTGAGTAGCAGGTGTTCCAAATTACTCTTTTTGGGTTATACTGTGAGGAATAACTTATACTTACTGTAGTAAGGTTCGCTTGGTAATAGTTATGGCAGTGCTCGGTATTTGGATGGTCATACAACCAAAGATTGTCGCAAACCTTTAAAGCCTTCACGCCAAAGGGAGCGAAAAGAAGAAGTACGCAAACAATGTTCACGTACATTTTGTGAGTTATAGAGTGCGTCTGTTTCACTACTAGCAATTTTTTAGGCAATTATTTTACTTCATTATTTTTGTCTTATCAACTTATTGATATTGTGAACTGGTAATTATCAACGTCGTTTAAGGACATGCCCAGACCAGTAATTAAGGATGATCAATCAACTAATTGAGCTTTACCTTAAATTCAATTCCACTCTATTAAAAAATGGCGTCAAGTACACTTTCCACGCAACGCTGTCATCAGCTCATAAATAATTATGTTCAGCACCTCTGAGAAAGAAGTTAGTTACGAAATTGAACAGACCAAGTTAGTCAAACAGACGCACACAATTAGACCATAGCACTTACCATGATCGGTACGCTGGTCGGGATCCCAAGAGAAGGCTGTGCGGCGTGGCGAGAGCATTTTTGTATCATTCTAAGCTTTAAAGGTACATGTACGGGGAATTATGTGATGTTTCGAATATGTCTAAATAGGTAACTAACTATTCGTCATTTATTTGTCTGGGCGGTCCGTAGGACCTTTGCCCATTAGTCACTGTCTGATGTACGTTAGTCGAATCTGTCAGTCCTGGTTGCCCAGAAATCAGACAAAGTCAAGGAAAAAGAGAAAGGGAAAGAGAAGAAAAAAGGAGAAGAACAAAGAAAAACAGATATGCTTAGTTTAAGAGAAAACACCTAGGCTTTTTGACTTGGTACACGGATTAACTTTGAGGTGAACTAAACAAATTTTTGATTCGGTTTTGTTAGAGTGTAATTTTGAGTTTACTAAAGATTCACGCTAACTTTTGATTACAGTGCGAGCCGTGGCCTTGAATGTTTACGAACTTGCTCCACTGTGTAGTCCACTGAGTCACGCAACAGAGGGTTGCTGTGCGATTCCGCTTGACTATAACGTCGCTGCGCCTGAAGCTTGACATAATCCCTCAAGTATGGAATGTCAAGGTCTCTGTGTAGTGTCTCATTTGAGACATAAAATGGAGCGTTGCAAATGGTCCGCAAAGTTCTGCTTTGCAGTACTTGAAGACTTTGCATGCGTGTCTTGGCAAGAAAACACCAAGCCGCACATGCATAAGTAATGGCTGGTCTAATAATCATTTTATATAGTCGAACTTTGTTTATCAAACCCAATTTGGAGGATCTACATAACAAGGGATATAGTTGCCGAAACGCAATTTGGAATTTTGTTTTTATGGATGCTGTATGTTTCTGCCAGGTCATGCCTTTATCAAGGGTGACACCGAGATACTTGGCAGAATTTGTTCATGGTACACAATTTCCGCCTACAGAAACCTCTGCTGGGGGGCCGCGACGTTTTTTGGTACAATAAATAGCCTGCGTTTTCGAATGATTAATTTTTATCAGCCACCGTTCCGCCCACTCTAGAACTTCGTCCACCGCATTCTGCAACCCATCGTGAACCAGATCACCAGTACACGACTGGGCGACAAGTGCAGTGTCGTCAGCATAGAGGTAGACTTCACAGTTGCTGGGGGAAGGGACATCATGGATGAAAAGCGAATAAAGAATTGGTCCTAGGACCGAACCCTGAGGAACACCGGCCCGTACTCGCCGTGTTGTTGACAAAACATTGTTAACTTTCTTCCTTCAAGAAAGGATTTCAGTAATTTTAGAAGCCAAAAATGAAAACCCTTTTGGATTAGTTTATAGAGGAGGCCCGCGTGCGACACCTTGTCAAAGGCTTTTGAGACATCCAAAAGCAAGATGCCAGTACTCATGCTAAGGGTGAACCCTCTGGTTACATGCTCCATCAGCCTGACTGCCTGTAGCTCGGTGCTATGCTCGGACCGAAAACCGAATTGGACGTCAGGAATCACATGGTGATTTGACGAAAAATTCTCAAGGTGACGATAAATCACCTTTTCGGCGAGCTTAGAAGGTGCTGACAGCAGACTTATGGGACGGTAATCCTGAGGAAATATCGAACCCACCTTCTTTGGAATCATGATGACCTCAGCAGTCTTCCACCCAGCAGGGAAGTACTGCAATTTGAGCGTCGCATTGATTATTGTCACCAAGTATGTCAGGGCTTTCGGCGAGAGCAGCTTCAACGCCTTGTTGGTGATTTGATCCTCCCCAGGTGTTTTACGCACCTTGAGGTCTTTAATATGACTTAGTAACTCCGCTGGTGTGCAATGTGGAAACTCGGAGGGTTCCGCTAATGTGCTATGTAGAGCCTCAGACGAATCTTCTGAAGAAGAGTCATCTAAAGAGGATTCAGTGCCTCCGCTAACGCCGTTGGCTCTAAAATATCTCCTGACGGATCGTACGATGTGCTGTTCCTCGTCGAGGTCATTATCGAGATCATAGTTGGGAGATTACTGTTTTTCCATGGCATCAGCGAAAACCTCGACCTTATCCTCCGTTCTGAAGACTATGCCTTCAGGACCGTGGATGTGTGGGAGTTGTTCTCGCTTTCCGTTTCTGAGTGACTTTGCGACCCTCCAGAGAGGAATACTTGAATCAAGCATTCCCGCCAGAAAGTCGCTCCATTGCTCGTTGCGGAGTTCGTGCAGTGCGTTTCTCACGTCATGGACAAGATTTGTAGCCCTACGAATGTCATCAGGATGACAAGACCTTTTTGCCTGCTTAATAGCGGCTCTTTTGTCAGAGATTTTCTGACGAATGTCCGCAGGCAAAAAAGGTCTGCCGTGTCGTTGTACAGGAAATACAGCTGCACGCTGTAGAGCTGCTTGAATGAAACTTGTCCACTCCGCTTGAGCGGGATCTATTCCAGACTCATCATCCATAATCGGGATAGTGGGAAACTCTAAGGAGCAACTTGTATAGGTCCCAATCAATGCGTTTGCTTGGAGGAGCTGCCTCCTCAGAAGTTTGCTCATTGCCCACATCCAAGGCAACAGGTAGATGGTCACTAGAGATATCATACAAGATTCGAGAAGAGATACTGTATCTACAGTTTTTAGATATCGCGAAATCGATGACATCTGGTGCCTGAAGATGGTTGAATGGATGATGTGTCGGCTCTTCAGTGCTATGTACAAGGTACCCATTTCGCATCACATGGTTGTACAATCGAACCCCACTAGTCGAATTCAACCTAGAATTCCATGCTCGATGTTTGCAGTTGAAGTCCCCTGCCACAATAAGCGGACCCGAGTAGTCCAAAAGGACCTCCAGATCCGCCTCTTGTAGCCTGGCACCACACCTGACATACACCGATGTGATCTTCAACGAGACACCTCCCGCCATATTGACCACCACAGAAGCTGCTTCGATGCTATGCATCTCCGCATTAGTGCTTCTATAATAGCCTATACCGCGTTTAATCAACACTGCTAAACCGCCGCCTCGACCATTCAATCTGTCACCTCGGATAACATCATAATTCGGGAGAGCTAAACGATCTCCCGGATTAAGCAACGTTTCCTGCAGCAAGGCCACATCTATACCTTCATCCAAAAGAGCTTGATGAAATTCCCGTTTTTTGGGAATATCCCTCATGCCCAAACAATTCCAAAACAGAATTTTGATGAATGCAGGCTGTCTACTATTTTACCTAGACATTTACAGGAAATATCGCCTGCAACGCTTGGGTAGCGCTAATCAGTGGGCTTATTATTTGTTGTAAGGACCTTAGCGCGGTTGCCAGGTCCACATTTTCCGTGCTCAAGGGAGGTTGGGCAGAGGGGGCAGGCAAGGTTGCCTTCCGAGCTGCGTCCGCGTACGATATATTACGCCTTTGCGCTATAACTTGCAAGTTCCTCCTTGGAGTGAACTTGCAAGTCCGGCTATTTGCGGGATGTCCCTCTCCACAGTTCGCGCACTTGCGTTCTTCCTCTCCTGTGAGGGGGCACAAATGCGTCATTTTAAGCATTTGGGCGTTGCAGTGCAATATGACTGCGCATGCCCATACTTTTGGCAGCGATGACACTGCCCAATGAGTCTGGAGTTCTTCTGAACCTCAACTCGAATGGCCAGTCCCAGCAGTTCGTGTTCGTTGAACACTTGCTGAGACTTTTCAGTCTTGGGCAGTATCACCACCACCAAAGGCATGGCGCGCCGCCGCTGCGCTTCAATAGAATGATATGAAGAGGGCTATATCCCCTCTGCTCCAGTTCTCCCTTAATCTCAGTATCCGAAAAGTTGACGGGAACTCCTCGAACCACCGCATGGATGTTCCGTTCCGAAGGGAGAGGAAAAGTGTGATGGAGCACTTCTTCCTCTCGGAATAGGCGAACGATCTTACGGTAGTCGTCCTCGGATTTAGCAATAATCCTCATTCCCACATCGACGGCAACCGCGCGATCTATTTTAATGCCTAGGGAAATAAACTTGAAATTTAAAGTACGCCATCTCGTCCCGTCGCGTAAGACGATCGGGGTTATGCGCCCTTGTCGTGAGGGTTGTGTTGATGCCGCGACGGTTGGACGAGATGACGGAGGAGAAGTAAGATCGGCTGACGGAGTCACCTGACAGGTAGATAACGTGGTCCTTGGCTTGGTAATAGAAGCATTAATAGTGTTTCGATTTGATGAATAGGGGGAGGTGTGAAATGGAATTGATCCTGTATTCGGAAGAGGAGGAAAGTCTTGGGTTGATCGATCAGCCTTGTCGTCTTTCCTCCTTCTTGATTTTGCTTTTACAAATCCTTCAGTCTGTACGTCTATAATCAGCATCAGTTTTTCGATCGTTTTCTGCTCCGATGACATCTGCGTCAGTGAGCTCATGTTTTCTGCTTCTGCTTGGTTTCCGCCACCGCTCAGCTCTTTCCTCATAGTATGTGGAACTGCGTCGTCTGTTGATCCTCCTGGGTCAACTTCCATCTTTTAAAAACTTTTTCTCGCCAATAAATCTCAGAAAACGTATAGCTCGCAAATGTGACAATGTTGTCAAAACCCTTTCTGCAGGGCGTTTTTTTATGTCTAAATAGGTGTGTAGAACTATCAAGGTTGGAAGCATTTAAGCATGTTAACATCAAAGAATTGAGATAACTGTCTCCCACCGAACAATTTTTCACCCTTAATTTTTTTTTCGTCTCTGACATGTCAAAAAACGATTTTTTTTTCGTTTTTGGTATTTTCTCTCCGCCATCCGTGGTCCGATTAATACAAAGTCCTTTCGCCCCTGCTATAGTAGTAACGTCCTAAAGATATGACATCTCGTTTTCGAAATTTTTCGTGATTACAATACTTACTGCTACCAGTAGGCGAGGGAAGTAAAAATGCAACCAGTCACTTACAATACCTGGATGTGTGGTGGTCACAATAACTTGAAACCTAATTACAATATTAGTTAGTCTGCTAGTTCGATTTTCGCGCTGAAAATAAAAACTCGCCCTCAAACGTGTCATTACTTGCTGTTGACAAGTCCTAATCAGCGGCATAGTTCTTTTCATGGTTGTTGGTAGATCCGTCACAAAACAGTAATAAATACGAGGGTAGTCTCAGAAATAGGGTCCAACATTTTTCTCAGGCACAAGGAATTATTTAGTTGGAAAAACGAATTTACCATTGGAAAAGTTTATCTTCAAGCTATTTTTTCTACGCGTTTTTCTAGACGTGGAATCCACCCTTTTACTTCCGCCTCGAGAAAGTCCGCCGGCCAGCTTGGACCCTTGGTAATTACTGCTCAGAACTCCTCGTCCATCTCTAGCCGTTGACCAACTAGGTGCTCCTTCAATTTCAGAAACGCTACGTCTGGGTATAAGGGGGATGGGCAGTGACTCCCCAGCCAAATCGCTCGATTTAGTCTTTCGTTTGTTATGAAACATGAGTGAGAATTTATACAGGGTGGCGCATCGAAAACGAAACAGACGCATTTACAGACAGCTCAGTTTTTTTTGGAAAAACGCTCAGACCCGTCGATCTTGTTTTCGAGGGAGACACAAGTTTGGCAAAAAATCACGTTAACACATGCAGCCCCCTGGGCCCCCTGACACCAACCCTAAAATCTTAAATGGAAAGGGGGGTCGAGTGATACCTTATTTTAAAGGTCTTCCAATTTCCTTTATAATGATGTAACATACATGTGCTTCAGGTCAGTAGTTTTGAAAAATTATTGATTTAAAGCTTAAAGTAGACTTTAATAGATACATCAGATTAGTTTGTACTACTTTCAGAAGAAATTTGACTAAAAGAATTTACTTAATAAGTAAATGCTTTTCTTCACGACGCCCATGGTTTGTTTATCATTTTGTTGTTGAAAATAGTTATTGGAGCATTTTTTTTGTGTGTAAATAGGAATTTAGTACATAGTTTGCGATTGATTTGACCAAACTTTATTGCTAAAATAACTTGTAATGCTTTATTACATACATTAACCATGGTATATTCCACAGCAGAAGAGTTGAAATTATCGAAATATTTTTCGGAAATAATCAGTGCGCTAATAGAACAGCCGAAATATTAAATGAGCGACATGAGAACGTAACGCGCATCGAAATATGTTGTGGAACTTGTAGCTAAATTTCGAGAAACTGGGTTTTTTTTTTATACTCCCAACTACCACGAAGGCCTAAGCTAAGCCCATGGGTACGTGGCGGGGGATAATGGAAAGGGAAGGAGCTCACTGACCGGCGAGAGGAAACGTGTGCATGCACATGAACATCTGCTCGCACGGAACCCGGGTGTTACCTCCGCGTTGGTCAGACTCTACCACCTAGGCAATCCACAACATACCTGGCAACATTTCTGGACGGACTCGAACCCGCACGCTGCACGGGGTGTGGAGACTCGACGTAACTGCTGCACACTCCTGACGCGGCCAACGAGGTCCCATAAAAAAGTCGCCTAAAAAAGCAACTTGAAATCCCATAAGGACGAACATTAACGTGGTATGTAGGCATTTATAAGATCCTACGTTAAGTAACGCAATGAGACGTTGTGGTTTGTCGATACTGTCCGACGATTCAACGGGATAGTTGTCATCCGATAAATTACTAGGACACGAACTTACGATTTGTCGCGACAATTTGTTATGTGAACGCAGAGACGGCACAATACGAATCAAATTATATCAATCAAGATCGGCATGATAAGCAAGTTATCAGACTGACAGCGACAAACATGAATGTAGAAGACTCGTACGTTGAGAAGAAAATGTCCATGGCGGCGAGAGAAGACTGAAAAACGTATGTCTTTGAGCTTACATCAGGAAACGTCCACGCATAGAGATTGATTGTAAATGTGTGTGCGCGCAAGATGGGTGTATGAAAGTCATTCCTGTAGCTTGGTTGTGACTCACCAAAACCGTGAAAAGATCTATAGTTCTGGACGCGCGCTTTTTGGCAGCGCGACAATTTAACTCCTGCGTGTACCGGCAGTAAACTGCGTCCTCCGCACCATTTATCTCACAAGGATTGAGATTGATATTATATTCGTTTTTTGTGACATTATGTAGGCTTTTCTACAAGATGTTAATACTAGCTGATGGATACGTTGTGAACTTGTTTTGTAGTTGTACGTGTTGCCTAAACGTCATGAGGCTTCAGTTATCAATGTCTGGCTCTGATGTGATGTAAAATCTACTTGAGAGATGGCAGTACTAGAGGTAAGGGCAATGCATACCTATGCAACCTGCATAGTGAGGATTTGTGTGATAATAATATATGCTGATGATAATTCCATGGATTCTTGTCTCAAATACACCTACTTGAGATTCAACGCTAGAAATTAGTTGCGCATCCAGTCTTTCTTATCCATTCTGGAAACTACACATACAAATTTGCTGAATTTCGAGAATGAGAGAGATAAGAAATAATTATATTCACTGTACACTGTCGAATTACGAGTCATATACATGCTAACAGTAATTAAGATAATAATATTTATTAGTCCGTTTGAAACACAAGACGTTGTATCGGTAATTATCCGAGTAATTCAGAAAGGCTAATAACAAACTCCGTCGGGAACAGCATAATATTTCACATCTGGTTCATTCCAATAGGACCAATCATTACATATAGACTTCGATGGAATTGTTAAAATATAAGCATGATATTTACATTAATCCGCCTCATGTTTGAAAGAAACCATAAAGACATTCAAACAACAATTACCTTCCGCTCAAGAAGAACGAGTTCAGTGGAGATGCTATTCAAGCTTCTGCCTCAATGGAAGAGCCACACACAAAAATCGGTTGTATTAACTTAGGACTAACTTGATGAGCACTTAACTTTTCATGATCATATTTCAAGGTTGTACAGAGGCTCTATTTGCTAAACTAAAAGCATCTTACAGCTTTAAGCATACGTGTCGTCTCAAGATACTAAAATTAAGCTTGCGATTCACTCCATTTTAAGTACGTTAGAATAGGAAGTTCCGAGGTTTTTCCTTGTTTGCCTGAAGCTCAGGACAGTGCAAGAACAGTTGTATTAGATATTCTGTTGGAATCGAAGAAGGGAGCGAGTGGTCTCCATTCTATTCAAGAAGCTGAATTGGTGAAGATGAGGCAGAGGGGTTTGTTCCCATTTTATGTTTGGTTCATAGCATTTTATTGACAAATACCCTATATACTAAATAATAAGTTATCTCTTGAGAAGTCAGCATCATGCAGCCAACTCCGTTTCGTTTTAGTTACACCCTTAACACGCCCATCATAGAACACCTATTTCCTAAGAGTCCTTTGTTCACCCAATCGCTATAATTTGCTAACTGCAGCTTTTTTAAAATTTTATCTGTTCCAACTTTTTAGGTCAAAAGTTAAAAAAATTGTTTTTGAAAAATATGTCATAATACCTTATATTACTTAGTTTTTACCTTATGTACTGGTGTACACTTGTGTAACGGTTACTGTGAATATATAGGATTTTTTCTTTAAATTAAAAAAATGCCTATTTTTGGCATAATAGATTTTTCATTATTATTACTCAACAACGTTTATGTATCCCAGATTTTGTATTATAATTTTGTTTGGCCCTGGTTGGTATGAAAAACAGCTTTTAGCTGACACCCGCCAGGTTAAATAAAGGCTATTATTATTATTATTATTATTATTATTATTATTATTTGCAGCATATTCAGTAATGATTTTCTCACACAGCAAATATCACTGGTTTTATACACATGCAGACCAATGCACACCACACAATCATCCAGATGTGATCTTGCTATTCTACCAAATTTCTTCTCAGAGATAAAAACTATAAACTACTCGGCTTCACAAAACATATGCAACCAACAATGCGTGTGGACGTGTAGTTGAGCCATTCCTCCATAGATGGACGCTCACAACGATCCTAGTGAGCAAACCTGGAATGACTGCACCCTAAAAACTATCTAGTCGGACATTTAATAGCCGTTTTTTGAGGTTTCATAGGTTTTTTGCATAATACCCGTGCGGAACACGAACTCCGTATAAAGGAATCCTGTAGCTAGGTCTTGGCATCTCAGCTCACGCCTCAACAGCATGTCGCCACCCTTGCATCCTTGACTTACATCAGCCTGAAGTCCCTGGTTTGCATTACATTACACTATATTCCTTACTTTGAGGTATATCTTGATCTCCCAAATCATGCCCGAACAATATTTCGTCCAATGTGCTTTAAATAAAGAGAAACGGTTCAATAAAGACCTTTAGTATGTTATACCAGTCTTATTCTCTTGGAAAATATATACGAATATCTAACAAAGTATGGAATATATCATTATGAAATGATATGATGGAACATTTGGATAGACTCTTTCGTAGAAAATGTATATCCTAGATTTTTAAGGTATCCGCAAGGCATTTTAAAATGACAGGACACGCGGTTCCACATAAAAAAGTTCGACCGAAATTTTTATTTCAAATTATAGTATCCGTGCATCAAACTGAGCTTTCTAATATGACCCAGTAGAGGAAAAGAAATATGTAGCACCAATCGAACCTAGCACTAGAAATAAAAAAGGTATTTTTGAACGTAATCAAATCATTATAACGCTCTTCAAAGGACAATTCCTCTCAAACCAAAGCGCACTTCAGCCATTGTGTTAAGGCATGAATTAGCGTGTCAAGCCCTACCCACGTGATTTCTTTGTCGCTGTCAGATATAAAAAGGAGGGGTCCCAGTACAGAACCCTGTGGACCCCTTTCAGCAAATTCGATAAGGAATGGAAGAAAACGCAGGAGTAAAGGTTGAAATCATAGATTTTTTCTAGTTTATTTACAAAAATAGACATTTTAATACACTAGAAGGTGTATTTATATTTGATCACCAGTGTCCGTGACCGAGTCCGTGTCCGTCACCGAATCCATGTCCGTGAATGGCCACAGGTACTGGGACTGGTCTGTCCACAGCAACGGGAACTGGATGAGCTACTGGTACACCTGAAAACAACCAGCAGTTTTCGTGATGAATGCACTTAATTTATTATTTATTTATTTCTTATGTTTAATACTTAAGAAAGATAGTAGGTCCCTTCCGAAATCTCGATACCTAAAACAGAGCAGCGGTCATACTCGCTCATTACCGATGTATAGTACATAGGAGTAGATGCTACGTTGTGGTGGCGACTTGTAGCAAACTATGGAAGTAATGAAGTCGAAAGAGCTATGGTAGTATAGTTTTTGTAGTATGTTCATCAGAAAGTTTTGTCCATTCTTATAACAAAGTAATGTTTCTTTTCATTCTTTGGATGTACGGATGGATAAACATGGTATATGAAACAAATGACTATCTGACAATTTCAGGGCATACCTAGGTATGTTGGAGGACAAGCGACGAAACGTCATATTCAAATTCTAGTAATGACATCTGGTAGAGGAGAAAAATTGGCAATATTCTTGTGCATTTATTCAGAAATCCCAATACAAATAAAATCAGCAAAAAAATAAATAGAAATATTTTGGAAAAAATTATTTTTGACGTCTCTCTACGGAACTATTTTGAATTTCGAAACTTTGTTAGTTACCTAAATACGCAACTTTGCCCCATCTAAGTGATTTCGTCTCTATTACTATTCCCTAGATCCTAATCGTGAGAGTCGAACTTGAAACAGTCGGTATATGACCCGCTACCAACCCTTAGGATTTTCTATATTCAATTCTTCTAAAGCGTCTTATCTCTAGGTGCGAAAAATTGATCCAGCGTTTGTTGGATATCGTCTCCGTTTTTGATTATTCTACGCTACAGAAAATACGAGTATGAAAAATGTGATAGAATTTCTCAGCCTAGCTCTGCAATTCGTCTATGTAATTCCAAATTTAGCTGTATATTCACTAAGCATGTTTGTTATAGTTCATCTGCAAGACCAGAACGTATAAGTTCAGATGTAGAAAGACCTAAGACCCTCAAATAGAAATGCACGTACCTATTAACCATTACTTTTATCGATATCGGAAAGGACAGAATTATTCGGTGTACCTAAGTTAAGTAAAGAATAAATCTATATTCGAGAAAAATATTACTTTCATGCAAAAGCATCATCCATAAATACGGATGAGCATGATTTAAGTCTACAGGCGCCGTTAGTTCGTTCTTCGTAACAACTTAACAATTTTTTCGACTAAAAGTGTTTAACGTGAGATAGTTCTGACGTAACTTTTCAATGTAAAAAGTAGGGAGTGTGACGTAGGCTAGCATTTTTCTATACATTTTGATCTTATTTGTGAAACAGTAAAATACTTTATGTTCAGTTCTTTCCCTAAACAAGAGATTTAAGGTAAGTATTCAAACGTTTGCGTCCCAAAGAAGACAATTTTTATCGAAGAATGGGATGATCTCAATTAAGCATGCAAAACATATGTTTGGACATATGCTACTTCTTTTAAAACGACGGTTATTTTCAAATGTCCTTTATTGGGAATAAATGTGTCTGTCTACTGACGAGACTAAACCCTCAATGGAAAATAGTTTCAGAAAGTGTGCTCACAGAAGCAGGAAAATAGCGGCGAGCACTGAGTCTGGTAAATTTAAATTGACTATGCTGCTGTGTATTCTGAAATTCATACAGCGTAAACTTTAAAATTATATTGCGGCTTTGTTAGCCTGTGACTAGCTGCCCATGAAAATTCCTCACACGCTCACAACAGTTTCGTTGTTCGTAGCTTAATCACTTAAGTTGATATAATAAGTACGTCCTTGTTATCTGTAGAGGAGCTTTGTGTCAAATTGAATCCAGGTTCTCGATAAATCGCTTCTACCCATCACGATGAAATGCTGCAAGCATCATGTGATAGGGAGTTTCATGCTGGATTTTCGGAAACTTCGGGCAGAATAGGTCGATAGATATGTCTGTAAAGTTTTCTAGATTGAGAGCGACTATGTAAGATTTTTCCTGAGTAAAGGCAGTTACATTATTTACCAGTTTACCATTACGAGCTTACGTCAAATATCTACAGTAATTTTGAGTCTCATAAGTTTGAATAAAAAGCTGCAAATTGACGTCATGACAGCCTTGGAAATATCAAATTGCTTAACATCCAGTTTTACCTACAATGCGTCCACATAGGTACGTCTGCTGATATCAATGTATAACAGAGACAATGTTGGATCGAATATTGATCCTTGTGGTACACCTGTATTAGCATTGCTGGATAGTTAAGATGAGTCATAGACCAGAATGGATATATTAAAATCAGAAAGAACCTCAAAAGGGTCTATGAGAGGCCATTAGATACCGCACAGTGCCGAGAAATACTTTTTACAAGCAGAATGGATTTGCCATTTTGATTTTAGAAAAATGGATATCATATTTGTTACGAGGGACCTCGAAAACATAGATGAAGTTTTTTTGGTAAAATTGTTGAATTTCTTCAGTTTTCGGACACTTGAACCTTACTCATCCCGTCATATTAGTTACTTACCAACAGGCCTGTCTACAGCTACGGGTACGGGATGAGGTACAGGAACGCCAACAGGTCTGTCTACGGGTACGGCTACTGTCTTCTCAACAGTCACTGGATAAGGTACTGGTCTCACAACTGGGTATGGTCTATCTACTGGTACTGGAACTGGAATTAAAATGAGTTGATTATTCAGTTTGTTTGTAGGACTATGATGCAGAATGCACCAGCTACAAAGTATTACATGATCAAAGGTTAGACATAATTTAAAAAAGAAAATTCAGTTTCCGACCAATGTCTCACAAATATGACCGTCAATGTGCTCAGTTGACGCATGCTTATCTGAAGATTTGCTTTTATTGAAGGATTTTGTATATAAAGTCCAAGGTAATGGATGCAGGGGATGCAAACTTTGTGTTCAACTTTGCACCTATGTCTAAGGCATCATCTGAAAAGAGCGATTTATGCTAAAAGGATTTTTCCGCGAGTCCACGGTGTAGCACAATTCAGTATCAGGAACTGATACTAAAATTTTCGCGAAGAACAGGAATAGGGGAAGACGATGTGAAGTCATCCAAATGTCAAAAAACAACGCGGTAAAAAGCAGAAATCTCAATCGAAAATTTGTCTTCGCAGTGCCTTTAGTGAGTTAAATTAACAAATCATAAATGGAGGAAATGGTTCACCTGATTTAAATGACGAGGGAAAAGTTCATTCATCGTAGATATAGTAACAGCACTTATCATATCAAACGGTTGATTTTATTGATATATACATGGAACCTAAAACGATCGGTACTTTCATTTCATATTCAAAGTTTATCAAGGAGCTCAAAGCAAAAATTTTTCGCAGCATGTGCCATCTATCCACTTCCGGTGTAACTTGAAAACTCCGTGAGAAAAAATGCTTAATGTGCTTCAAATCCATAGAGGTGTCATTGTTTGAAATGTCCAGAGCATCATTGATATTGTAAAGGGTCAGAAAAGTCCGAAAATACAGCGACAACTGTTATTTTCAAAATTATCGTATTATCCCTGTAGCAATATCCTTTTGAATTTTAAGCAGAAGTTTTCTGCCACTACTTTGATTCTGGAAAGCGTGGACTAGTGAAACATAAAACTTCTGTTCAAAATTCAGAAGTAATCGGAAGTAATAAGAGTATGAATGGATGGTGCATAATACATTATACTGGTAATGGAGAGCGTGAGTATGGTTGAACAGTTTAGTTTTCTATCAAGAATTATTGCATATGGCGGCTTAGTCAGGATCGCTTTCTTGAGATGGCGCTATTACATGTGCTTTTTAAGAGAGTATTATGTACTCGTATAGTGTAATGATAATCTGTGACTAACTGTTCATACTTTTCCGCAAAAATGGATCTACAATTACAATGGCGTCACTCCCGTTATATGCCATCACTGATATCAAGCTGCTGTTATAGATGACCTTCGATAGACAGCAGACTGCATTGCTTGATAATTTTTACATAGTCCGAGAATCATCCGTACCAGGAAGGACCATTCCGACAAATCGCATCCTATTGTTAAAAATGATAATAGCCTTAGTTGGGTGAGCTATCTTGTCGCTTAAGATAGCATTGTGATCGTTCCATACAATTTCCCAAATGAAACAAATACAGGGTTGACTTGCAAATACTGTATTGTACCTAGCTGTGAAACAGGTTTACCTGTGCCAAAACAAGAGAATTAGAAATAAGTGCGGGGTAATGAACAGAGGCGATAAAATCTGTTACGGAAATGTCATTGTACTGCTAAAAATATCATTTTGATGTTAGTATATGGGTGCGTCACCGTCCAACGATGCCACCAGCCCATAATACGCACCAAACAGTCACTTTTTCAGGATGGAGAGGTTGTTCATGAAATTGGTGTGGACAATTTTGCTTATTTATGTACCCATTGAGGTGAAAATGAGCCTTATCAGAAAAGAACACTTTGGCCGAAATTCCGTCTTCTCTTTCCAGCATCTAATTAACAAAAACACGCCGCTGTTAATGGTCTGCCGGCTTCAATTCTTGTGTTAGTTAGATTTTGTATGGATGGATGTGTAAATCAAAGTGTAAAGTGGTCCAACTAATTCCTAATTGTTGCGAACGGTGCCTAGTGGAGGTGGTTGGATATTCTCGCACACTTTCACTCTCTGCGGCTATGTTTTTACGAGTACGAGCTGGAAGAGCATGTTGGTATGGTCTACGACCTTCAGCTGAACCAGTTTCCTCAAAACGATTAACAATCCAACGAATTCCAGGCTCCGTAAGGCGTCCATGTCGGCCAAAACTAGTGCGAACTTTGCGATAAGTATTTTATTGTATATTTCGACCGTTTTCATAATAAGTTTGGATAACCAAAATGCGTTGTTGTGTTGTCAACGAATCCATGACTATAAATGGCATACCACGTGACTTTTGACTCACATGGTAACACATTAACTTATAGGTAAAAAAAAGTAGTAGGTGGCGCACCCAGTATCTATACTATGACGATTTGGAGAGAGGGTGCACCCTGAGTATTTTGGAAATGCACTAATTGCTTAACATCTATTACAGCTTCCATGATAGTTGACCCTAACCACAAAACTCTTGCCATAACCAGGAGTTATGTCATTAGTGCCGATTAGTGGATTAAAATAAATTCCATTCCGAGAAGCTGTCAATTCCCTATTATTCATGGAAGCCCCCAAGATGTCCAGATCTAAGGATATACGTATATTTATTTTTACTTAGCCAAATTTTGTTAAAGTAGATTTCTGCGAGGCCTGATGACACGTGTTGCCCAAAATTGTCCTCAACAAACACAATGAGCAATTTCGTGACAGATTTGCGAAATGGCTGTTCATTAATAACTGATAGTAAACAAATTTCAAACGTAGATGTAGTACCTCTGACTCCAACAGGCACAGCAACCGGCCTGTCAACTGGAACTGGTACGGGTTGTGGTACTGGTACTCCGATGTTTCTGGTGATAGTGGTGTGAGTGTGGGTGTGTCTGCTCAGTTCCACTCCTGGTCCTGCAGCTCCCACTGCTGGTCCACCGACGGCAAAACCACCATCAGCAATTCCTCCTGAAACCGGAAATGAGTTTGATAAAACTTTTAAGGGGGCTAAGTTGAAAAACGCTTTTTAGCGACACTTCGCCTTTTTATACTTTGTATAAATAAAAAAGGGCGCTTGTGGGGCAAAAGCAGTAATCTTGAAGCGAAGAAATTACCACCTTTAAAGATTTTGTTCAACATAATCCTTATAAAATTCAAGCACATCACGCCAGTATCCTTAACAAATGTAGCTCTTAACAAGACGAATTCTAGCCGGCAAATGACGATCCCAAAATATTTGCTATTCATAGTATTCTTGTCTTGGCAACAGATCACCATTTGACCGAAATTACATTGCTTGAATAGAATATTTTTTGAAAATCAGCTAGTATTTGACGGTAAAACGCTACGAAATATAATTTTTGCAAAATCCTGAATCTATTGAGCTTGCCACAAAGTTTTGACTTTTCTTCAAGGCTGTTCACACTCGTTCCATCTTAGCCAATACGAGCGCTCAATCATTGGCCTACCTTGCTGTCTAATCAGAATTACGCAGCTCCTTACTGAAATATTGTTTCAGATGTTGCTGCTTAATTATAATCTGTTCATTACCTATCTCAATGTTAATGCTTCAAATCTATTACTCAACTTTATGACCTACCTATAGACAAATTGATCTTTGATTTAAACTGAACAACCACAAAAACCTATGTGACATGCGTGTGAACTAGAATCCTAGACATTTTAAATCATCAACTTGAAATGACATCCAAGCACTCTCACGGTAATTAAATCAACTTCTGCGTAGGACTTGGTGACCAGAAGAATCAAAATGATATGTGGTTGGACTCAGCTCTTCAGGTGTCCTTGATAAGTACTCCAAGTGACGTTCAAATGCTTTTACAGAATCCAATTAACTCCGGATTTGAAATCAGCGACACAAAAAGAACCTGATGTACTGAATATCATATAAATCCTGTTGAAACTGTATTTTGCTAGCTTTTCGGTGTTCCGTGGAACGCCTTGATATCGCGTTCCGTGGTTTGATATTTTTTGATATGTACACACATTGGGACCATTACTACTGAAATTGGATCTAGGAGTTAGGAAAAAATAGTGGCATACAACTCACCTCCAAAGCCGATTCCAGCTCCACCAAGGCCGAGTCCATGACCACCACCAATAGCGATTCCATGACCTCCTAGTCCAAGGCCGTGACCAGCATAGCCCAATCCAATCAGCCCTCTCTTTTCTACCTTCTTGTCCTTGGTTGCTTTCTCAGCCTTCTCTGATGCGACTGACAGCGCCCACTAGAAGGCAAACTAGTACCTGCAAAAAAGAAATCACGATAAGCTATGCTTAAATAAGTCAACCGACAGTTGGCTCAAGGCATTATCCGACAAGTCATGGGAGGATCACGAACTTTGTAAGGACAGTTCAATAACATCGACGTTTGACAGATTTGACCACCAATCATAAAAGCACTACCTAGCGAGAACAAAATTCAACATCGCTGCCATTACCGAGATGCAAGCTGATCCAATATCTGATGCAATCTAAAGTGATCCAACTCAATCCAATGACGTAAACCTAAGCAGATTCAACGTGCAATCTGTGCCACTTATAAGCACGACTGACTGACTATAGCTTCAAGAACAATGCTCGTTTTTCCTTTGGTTGGCTTAATGTAACGATCTTTTGTCCAATTAGAATAAGCTATGTTTATTTTATATTGTTTTTTTATTCTTGCAGTTTGTATTATGTTACAATTGAACCGAGTGGAAAGAAGCTGAAAGTTGTTGGTGGTGCTATAGTTGCTCTAGTTGAGTAAGTAACAGACGGTTGAACTATTCAAATACCCTGCTGGAAATCCACTGTACTGCCATTCATAGTGGCAGTTGCAATAAATCAAGACTCAAGATTGCGCCACGTCGATCCATTTTTTCAATTGACCCAGCATGCCTTTAGCGTGTTGTTAAATAGTAATGCCATTCTCCCTGGTTACCACGCGTCCACGCTTATTTTACGCAAAAATAGAGAACATGGAGTGCCGCCACTCGCCTTCGTATCCTAGCGCTTTAAGCACAGAAAACGATCTACACATAAATGTTTCAATGCCTGCAACAAAGATATCCTAGTCCGTTTCCACATACAAGATCAGTAGCGCAGTCAGAAATTTCGTTATTATTAGGTAGTAGGTTATTTATCAAAAACTTGTAGTAACATGTGAATATCTCGTTTACATATAGAACACAAGTTTCAATAAAAAAATGTTCTAGCGGTTTAAGCACTTAGACCTTGATTTGTCACACTTGAATCATTAGTTTAAATGTCTAAATAAGGTTAAAGATGACGTTTACGTATGAGCCAAAACAAATAAGACGCATTTTTCAAACAATTTAGTACAGGTTAATGTCTGTAATACATCTGTGTGTTCCGAAAATCATCTCGGTCATCGAGTAACCCAAGGTGAACAAAAAATGACAAGCTTAAACGACCAATATCATGCATACGTTTATACGAACTTTTTTCACATTCTATTGTTGAAAAATCTTTTCGACTTTCTCAACAACATTCTGTAACGCCCTTTGTTTATCTGTCATGCTCTCTAAACCTTAGGGGAAGGGGGATCTCTATAACCTTATGGCCGACATGATATTCTCATACGATATTCTTACTGAGTAAAATGATGTACCATCGTCACCACTCCGTACGCCACTGGCGGGGAAGTATTTTAATCGCAGAAATTTCGAAAATGAGATATTATATTTTTTGATGTTATATGAGATGTATGTCACGAAACAGCTTGTCACTCATTTCAGCTGGGCTGTCAGTCTGACCCCGCTATAACTTCGAAAGTACCGGCTTTAATTCTATAAGCCTGATTGACTAACTAATTTATTAAAAATGTTCGTAGCTAACTCTCTTCTCAGACGGGTCAATATGTGCCGAACATAATCCTTTCTGGACTATGAAAGTAAATAGTCAATCTACTTGACGTCGTTTTTCTGTTTTATATTTCCGTAAATGTTCCCTTTAAAGAAGTTACACCATTGACTGATATCGATTGCATCTAACAGGCAGACCTATATCTGTCTGTGTGGCAATAATGCCACGATGAAAATTTTATCTCGCAGCTTTGCGGACCAGGTAGTTTCTAGTGTTCAAATAGTTCATTAACGTGCAAGTAGCAGGATCGCATCTGGATGATTATGTGAATTGGTATAAAGCTAGTGATGTTTGCTATGTGAAAAAATGCTGCCGATGAAGTATATCTATTAGCTGTGCCCGACGGGTTATTTATGATATGTTGTCCTTTCTGAAGACAAGTTAAGTTTGAAGTTATAAATTACGATTTTTTCCGTTTTCTTTTTGCGTTTTCAAAATCTGGGAGGAGAATTACGGAAAATTACCACCGCGCCCGCGTTGTACGTAATTACTGTTAGCGTACGTCTTGTGATTCAACAGCGTACGGTGAATATAATTGCAATACTTGACAGCACGCAAGTATAAATGAAGGGTACAGGCAAATAACAGTGAATGTCCTAATGCACAGTTTTGAGAAAAATGCAACCGAAAGCTTGGAAGTATATTATTTTTAAACTAACATTGGTATACGTAAATAAACTGAACTTACCCGCAGAAGAATAAATCCTTGTGCGTGGGTATTAACTTCCATTTTTACACAAATATACGCACACACACATATATAATATAAATAAACATATGAGGAGATGCACATACACATATATATATATACACACATATGAGTATATGAACGTTGGAGGGTCATTAATTTTAAATTTCTTTCATACGTATCATGTTTGCAATTTGATGTCGACTTTTATCAATTATAAATTTTGTTTTATTTGAAATATTCCTTATATACTTTGGTAATATGTTATATAATCTACTGGAAAGGTGTTTGCATAGTGTTGTTGATTTTGTTTCTAGTTTAATATAAGTGATCTAACGGAATGAGATTATTTCTATTGTGAAATTGATAATTTATAATTTTATAAAAAAATTGTTGCCTAGGGTCTATTAGTTTTGCTTCAGAATACAACAGACGGGTATAAGAGTGGTTTGTCAAAGATTATTTTTGAAAATTGTTTTTGGATAATTTCTAATTTATTAATTTGGTTATTAAGTGCTCCAACCTAACCTAATATTGCGTAAGTTATACAACTTTCGATCATAACATGATATAAAATTTTCATTGATTTATTATCCAAATATGTGTTTAGATACTTAAATTTAAACAATAGTGGTCTCAAATTGGTTATTACACGATCAATATGTATATTCCACTTTAAATGTGAATCTAAATATACACCTAAATATTTTATTTTGTTTGTTAAATTTATTTGAGTATTTATATGATCACAGTTAATCTGTCTAGATACAAAGGATGGTAATTTGTTTCTGTGATTTGTGAATGGCATGAACATAGTCTCTTGAAAGTTAATAGCTAGGCATTTATGTCTAAACCAGTCTGGAATTATTGTTAAGTCTCTTCAACCTTCACTTTTAGATCATCCCTCGAGTTGTGATCCGAATAAATGATAGCAGTATCGTCTGCAAAACATATGACTGTCCCTTCAGATTTTAAGCTCAGCAGGCTATTAATGTAAAGTGTAAATAATATGGGGCCTAACACTGTCCCTTGTGGGACACCATGCGTTATCAATTTGTTTGTGCTAGAGGAATTATTTATTTGCACGCACTGTGTTCTGTTGGAAAATTAACTTTTCATGAGGTTATAAGCTTTGCCTCTAATTCCTGAGTCGTGTAAGATTTCTTATAGTAGCAAGTGGTCTACTGTGTCGAATGCTTTTGCTAGATCTAAAAACACACACAAGTATGCAGTAACTTTTATTTAGAACTAATTAAATGCTTTATATCTACGAGTAATATAATTTTGTTGTCGAAATTGTACCTTTTAATTATTAAACATTTAAATTGAACAAAAACCAAATGAAACATATTGAAACAAGTAAAAAACGAGGAATGTCCAATTCAGTTATCAGATTATTGGTTTTTGAATCATATAATTTCGTACTGTCTTTTAAACAGTAATGACTCAATCTTCCTTCAGAAGAGCAAAATGGTCCTAAAGCTATGATAAAAAATGGTTGAAAAGTGTTTTTCTTTCTTTGTGCGCTTATATTTATTTATTAATTGACCTTAATGACGAAACCGACAAAATTGCTCATTGCAGTGAAGGAAAAAACTATAAATGCAATGAGGCTGAGCTACCTAAATCGTTAGTCGATTTTGTAAGTTAGGTACCATACCACGTGTTAAAAAAAGTGGTTGCTTCGGAGAATACATTCAATGAATCATCTAGATTTTTTTATACTAAAAATACAATAAGTACATAATATATGATATATATAAAAAGGTACTTGGAAAGTTCCGCTACTATGAGTATTCCTGCTTCCAGTAATTTAATAAAACAAAAACATTGCTGCTCAGGTATTTTGCATTAAGAGGAGGTTTCCCAGTCTGTCTAGATCTGCAATGTCTTCATGTATGGGGAGCATCTAATTTTGGGAAACTTCAATGTATTATTTCCGTAACACGCTGGATCTCCACAAATGTGGTGGAGGAATATGACCTAGTATTGGTAGCTAGTAGGTCGGAGTAGACTTGATTGTCCCTCTTATGAATCTTACTATTTGGTTTAACTACGTATCTACCATTTTTTTATAAAATCCCAGCACGGTTTTTGAAAGGACTCATTCAAGTACTCGCTATCGTGCTGTGCATGCAAATACCACCTATGTCCCAGGGCTTATGCTTTTTATGCAAGGAACGCCGATTATGCGGTATTATTGGAAGAGGATGGAATCTATTGACTTGCGAGGTGTATACGCAGAACACGCATCTGCCTTTAATGTGGCAGTTTCAGTAAAACAATCATGTTGGAAGAAATGGACTTAATTAAGTGACTTCTGAAATGGCTGATTCGATTACATTAAAGGAAAATGCTCGATGGATGTATTGGTCCTGCTTGCATGTTAGCATGTAATGGAAACGCGAAAGAATGATGCAATATTTAACAAATTGGTCGTAATCCATTTTCTTATGAAAAACTGTAATAAACTATAAAGTGGGTTTGATCGGAATACCTTGTAATAACTAGAACGTGGCGGATGTGAGCAAGGCCAAAAAGATTCTAATATTCTCTGTATAAGTCGCAGTTTGCATTTAGTGTTTAATGAAGTATATTTTATTAATCCAGACTGCAGTAACGCACTGTCAATTACTCATTTCAAGACTAGCCGGTATGGAACTAGCATCTAGAAAAAAAAGAGTAAAAAGCAGGTAAAGTGTAAATATTTTCTTTTTTGGGAGATTTCCTTCCAACAGTTATTCAATCTCTTCTGTCATTTTTCAAGAACTTCCAAATAAATGTATTTCCCTGAGATGGTATCAAAGCGATATGATGATTTTCTGTAGACACTTAATACTTCTTGCGATCAAGAATATTACTATGCAAACATTTATATACTTGATCAAAAAATTCAGGATTTCCAATTCGCTGTGGCTGCTGTAGCAATTTCCTGTTATCAAACTTTTTGCTAATGCCTAAAGCATACCGAAAAGTGGAAGATTTTATCTCTACACTTTCTGTATACTCCCAGGGGTGCACAGGGAATATACCGTTTTTATAATAATTGTTACGACAAACCGCAGTTAATCAGATTAGATAGGAAGTTGTTACATTGTGAATAAGCTGAAGCTTAAAGATCGCTGTCAGAAGTTCACAATCAATAATTAATTTATTCGAAGCAAAATGTACTCTACTCCTTCAGTCAACAGGAAATGAAGTTCTTTCAAGTCGTTTATTATTTTCATCTTTTTTTGGGATTGTAGAATGCTGCTTGAACTTTTTGATGTAGGTACTGTAACAGCAAAAAAATTTAAATAGACATTAAGGCTTAATTTTACTATACTTCGAAGTTGAGTCATTTATTTTAACAGTGAGTAGATCTGATCAAAAGAAATGTTTTTTCCCTTAACATTTTTGTGGTAAAATTAAAGTAACAAAGTTATAGCCCTTTAGAAGTTTGAGTACCGCCCTGTCTCAATAATAATATTATGTGTTCGTGTTTCGCAACAACGGTTATAATCCGCCTTATCGGTTCATCGCATCGGAAACAAAAAAGCGAAAGAATTTGAAACGCTTATCACAATGTTTTTACTACAATTTTATTCAGTTGTATTCAGTCAATGTGTCAGTCGGTAACGCGTGAGTGAATAGTGGTGCTTGTTGCGTGGCTGAAACTAAATAAAAATGGCACATGTTTACGAAAATGCTGAACCTGTGGACATGATTCTTATTTACGAGTAAATGCTGCCGCGGCATCACGGATTTATGCGGATCGGTTTCCCAATCGAGTGCAACCAACCCCTCGTGCCTTTGTTAAGGTAGTACAAAGGGCTCCTGAATCAGGTGACTTAAGACCTCACAGGGGAGGGCATGCCGGTGCTCCAAGACCGCACGATCAAACACAGGTCCGCACTGAAATACTTGTCGGGAGGATACTTTATAAAACAAGGTAACATTTTTTTTTAATTTTTTTTTATTTTTACACACATATTTTGATTTATCTTCGTTCTACAGTCATTATCTGAAAATTAATGAATCAACTTCAAAGTCACCCTGTATATTCCGAGGAATCAGAATGTGGCGGAAATTGGACGAATGAGAGGGCTCACGGACAGGATTTTTCGTACGGTAGCCAAATAAACGAAATACTTACTTGATGTTTGTTACATAATAATTGTTCTGTAATTCTATTTATGTCTTCAAAGAATTTATCAAGCATAATTTTGTATAGCAACAGGGAGACACTGTTATTTTCAATAAAATGCTCATTAATTTGCTGTTATATCAATCTAGGAAATGTGTCAGATTTGTGTCCATGCTTTGAGAGTATTATATATTATATTATATTATATATATTGGTGCATTTTAGTACAGTCGCCGCTAATGTGGTGCCCGGACACAAATGAGAAAATTTGTTTTTGTAGCTAGACTTATAACCTATTTCTTGTTTTAGTTTGGATCCATTACTTCAAAATCGGGCCTTAGTGGTGCTTATGTTACAAAAATGAGTAGCTAAATAGGAAACAAAACAACTGCTGTCAAGTAGCTTGACTTTGAATTTTCGAGGCATTAATATACAATGTTGTGAGTAAAATTGAAACCTAGATTCAACTCGCTTAAAAAGATATAAATACCTTGCTACAGTTATATTGGATATTTAAACATGACTGTCTTTGATAGGTCACCTTAGACATCTTGAAAACAGATTAGGTAGATTAGAAATGTAATCATGAATTGGATTCAGCTCTTTATAGCAACCACGGTACCCCGGTATCTAGGCGTGCGTCTATGTGGCTGCTTCGATATATAAAAAAACAATGCAATTTTTTTCTCGTAACCTTTTTCTAACCCACTCCCGTCTTTATGATTTATCAGTCTTCATCCTCATGCCAATGTTCAATTTACATCAGCACCTGTCCATGGCGGAAGTACCGTATGCATAGTATAAGCAATAAAATCTTATTTATATCCTCACACAATTTACGTCGCGAAAGAATTTTGAGACATCACCAGTCGATTCGCGTACAAGACTGGACTTAACCTTATTTGAAAATGCTCTCGATTAGTCATTACGCAATAGTCCAGTTTTATTATGCACATAGTCCATTCATATTGTTACTTTCTCTGGTTGATCTACAGTTCGATCTAGTAGGCTATGTCGTCGGTTGCAATTGTTCCGTGGGAACCAGGGAATGGCCGATTTACGTCGACTGCAGAATTTTATGGCCTTGATGGGTGTGTGGATGCAATTCTAATGGTGCATTCTTGGTGCGGTAAAGGTATGCAGATCGAGAGCTAGTTACAGAGCGAGGAACATGTCACAATCACAAGCTTCAGACGTTGCTAGCATAATGAAGTCCCAGCTGGCAGGAGACGCGCTACGAAATAATAGGGAGGTCAATTGCGGAGCTTATCAAATAGAAAAACTGATTGAGAATACTACACTGTTGGGTTACGGCTTGAAGGTAAATTTCTGGCAGGCTTTCCACAAGAGTTGCTTGTAAGAATTTTAAAGACGAAATAATCCAGTCATTCCGACAAGTAGCTTCACTCTGCACTTCACACGTAATGATGTCATCAGTTCATAAAGGATGATGTTTTGCAGAAGTTAGGCCCTCTAAGAAAATGGTTAGCTACGAACGTGTGTAACAGAAAGGATCAGGTTAGTCAAAAAGGCCTATATAATTAGTCCATAGTCTCTAGTCATACCGACAATACCGACCATCTGGCGACGTTGCTATGACTAACCTCACCAGCCATTATGCCAGCCACCCATCGGTCAGATTATGCTGTCTGACATCGGTCATGACATAAGTATATCTACGATCGGTCTGTTGGGTACGTGTGCGTAGAAAATACTTCTCTATCATTTCAAGTGCAAGCGAATGGGGAAATCTATGACTTGTCAGACGCCTAATGGATGCAGGTTTGAAACCGTCTACGGTAGCATAGTATATACCAACGCTAATCATTGGGGCACTAGAAACAGACCAGCAGATCGACCTACAGATAGACCGACAAACATACAGATCGACAGACAAACAGACAGACGGACACAGATAAGGAACAGGTTTGTTCGTGTTCTACATATCGTATAACATCGAAGATAATCCACCTAAATATCTAAGGCTATTATAGAACCTAGGCGTGGTTATAATCAAAGTGGACATACCTGATATTCAGACTGAGTAGTGAGCATATCTCTAAGATCGTGATGTAGAGTTGGTAATATGTATTTAGGAGCTGCAATTGACTGCTCCTAGGAAATAGAAATGGACAGGCAGAGGCGTTACTAAATGCAGTAAAGAGCACGCACTAAACAAATAGAAACGTAATAAGGATGAATAACGTCCAACAAACAGATTAGATCGCAGTACCTCAGGAATGAGTATTGAGCTTGAGACTGGAGGAGGGAGTTTTTGAGTTGAGATTGATGGACGAGATAGATAGTTTTGAATGGATAATTGAAATAATCTAGTTTCATGACACATGATAGAATCATTTATCAGCCACAGGCATACCTCGAAGATAACATGGGACTGGCGCAACACTCTAAAGATGTTGGCAGAACCCAAAAGGTTTTGAATTATAAGTCCAAGTGTCAGGTTAAACTTATTTCCGAAGACTAGGAAAGAATATACAATATTTGACTAATAAGTAAGCTTCATATAACGATAGCTCGTAATGAGATAGCTGAGGGCTGTGCCAGAAAAGGAGCAGATTTGTCAATCATAGAATTGTATTTAGTCCATTCGGCGTCAAATGCAGCAGAGGCTCTGAGGTGGAGCAAGAAATAAGAGGAAGAAGAACATTTTTGAATGACTTCTTCTTACTTTAGTCACACCTGCAGAGTAAGACTTCTCGTTTTAGGTTGTCTTGGTCTAATTGGTAGAAGAGCTACTTTTTACGAATACAAATGAGGCTGCGTTCTTCTTTTCATCCTTTGGGTAAACGATTAGGAAGCTGGCCGAGAAGATCAAGTTACGCAAGTAGATATCCGTGGAGCCAAAATATTCATTTATAATGAATAGACAGATAGAATAAATTTTTTGCAGTGTAACTATCATAGAGCTACAAAGCTATGTGTCTCCGCTATAAAAGAATCGATTATATTATTTTCCTCGCTAATCCGACAAAATCGCAAATGTATTAAATTTAGTCAAACAACAAGCTGTCCTCGGTAAACATATACTTAAACGTTCGCGTATTTTTCGATATGAGAAGGAGATATGTGGTCAATGTCACGGATAATGCGTACTTCAGCACTGTCACTGCAATTATTGTAATGAAAACTGAAAATGTTTCTGTATTTATTGGAGCAAACATACATATTGACGTAATTTTCTACAGTGTTGCTACGAATCCTATGTATTTTTTTATAATGAGAAACATACAAGGTAATAGTGATAGTACTGATAGTACTTCTGGAACAGAAAGAATGACATAGATACTCCCTTCATCGAGAAACAGATTACACAAAACATAACGACGAAATGAAAGAAAGTGGTCTGGGACAGGCTGAGTGATCTACTTGGAAAAATGTACTAGTACTATGATACAAAACGCATAAAACAAACAAGAGTTTGTGGCGTTAAAACCTGAAATATTTTCTATGCCGTTAAATCTGCTTGAAGACCTTTAATGATTTATGATCTACGTATACCATTAACGACTATTTAAAATCGTATAAGCTTCTTACCACGCCTTAAAATAATCAGAAACTTCAAACTTCAATTCTCTATATGATATGTTTTAGTATCCATACTAATGTATGTAGTTCATAATGAGCTTTGCCAAATCCAAAAACATGCGTGCTAAAAATGCTATACTACCCCAAACAATGACCAAGATATTTGAAAACGGGAGGAGAAAGCTTGGAGATATTAAGAAAAAATGTTTTCTCCGAAACAATCTTTGACTAGTGCCAAGAATATTGAGAAGCTTGGGAAGTCTCCTTGTTTCTGACTTATTACCCCCCACAAGTGCACTTTTCAAAAATGACCTAAAATTACCTACTATGAGCCCACAGCAAACTTCTCGACAAGTTTCATCAAAATTGGCCAGCTATTTGAGGGCTTATATGGGTAGAAAATCTGGATTTTACACTACAAACTAGTAGAAAACTACTTGAAATTAAAAAATTCGAGAAAAAAGTTTTCGAATGTCAATATTTTGTTCTGGGGTTGTGTTATATACTCGTTTTCAAATCTATAATCACCGGCCTATCATGGAAACCAAAAATAAATGCGTTAGAATGGTACATACCAAGTGTTTCATGATGTTGGTGGTAACCCGACACAGACAGGTGACAATAATTAAACACAAGGGTGTTACTGATTTCCAGCAGCTTTGAGGATATCTTTATAGCAAAGACCTGCCCCCACCAAAGCCGTTCTTGCATCAAGCTATCAGCTAAGGCGGACCTTTCAGGGATATCACATGATAATACTTTCTCTTAGTTGTTTTGTGTAATGCCTCTACAAAGATCGCATTGTTTTCGGAATCTGTGCGTTACGGTTCCTTTGGTGTTTCCTGTCGTCTTGAACATGATGAGGTTTGATGAGAAAGAGATGAGCTGGCGAACTGATCAGCAGATGGTAATGTGGAGGGAGAGTTCTGTGAGAAAATTATGTGGGGGACCCTGAATGTTATTTGACGAACTGGGTAAGAGTTTCAAGAAGATCTGAATTTAGCAGCTGAGTGAAATACTAGTGATTTGTAAAAGTATTCTGGTATTGCACTGCAAGAATTTTATAAGCTTGTAGTAGCGGGAGGAGAAAACGAAAATCTTGCATTGCAAAAAGTATATGTTACTATTCAAGTTCATGGACAACTGCGACCTTAAACAAAGCCCTTTTGTTGGGTAAATCGAACGTAGGGATTACGATCCTGATGTCAATTTAAGTTCGTCAGGATGCCCATTGCTCTTATCCAAACAGAGCTTCTTAAATAGAGATTGCAACCTCGCAGCCCAGTCAGTCCGGAAGGATTAACGATGAGAGTCATGAATCCTGCAAGGGATGCCGAGATACCATTCACCCTTTAATATCATTATATTGAATGTCAATATTTGAGGGGGCGATGATTAATTTCATTTTAAGAAGAAAGCTGCATCTTAACTTGTGAGATAAACGCTGGTAAATTATTCAAAAGTAAATTTATCGTTATCTAAACAATAAAATCTATTTCTCTGCATGGCGAAATTGTGATATTAAGAATACTGTTATGATGAAGCAGAAATACGTTTTATATACTAAGTGACATATAAATCCGAACACCCAGTTTAAATGGTTTTATTTTAATAAAAGTTGGTGAATGTATTTATCTTACTGTAAATAACAAGTGAAAAAATTTTCAGCCTTATCAGTTGGACATTCCGGTTTTTATACTGCTTTTTTTTAATTCACTAACGCTCTAAAAATGAATATTTCAGCCGCAGTAAAGAATCAACGTTGGCGGATTTTGGTTCTTGACATACTTTACGATCGGTTACGATGCCTAGAGTACGGAGACCTGTACGATTTCGTCAACTTAGTGAGTTTGATAGGGGCCGTATAGTGGGACTTCGGGAAGCTGGACTTTCTTTTCGGGCAATTGCAGTTAGAGTGCAAAGAAGTGTAGACACTGTGGTTCGGTGTTGTCAGGCATGGCTTCGAGAAGGCCGTACGCAAAGAGCAAGGGGCACTGGACGCCGCCGTAGAACAACAGACCGTGAATATCGCCGCCTACGATTATTGGCCTTAAGGGACCGTTTCTCCACTACCAGGTCCATTGCAAATGAATGGTTTGCAGAACACGGAAGACCTATTGGCATGCGAAGTGTTTACCGACGAATGAGATGTTTTGGCTTGTTTTCATACCGGCCACACTGGGTCCTCCCTTTAACTCGAGAACACCGACGTAATCGCCTTGAGTGGTGCAGACAACGGTCACTCTGGGATCAGGAATGGAACAGTATTGTCTTTAGTGTCGAGTCTCGATTTTGTTTAGGCATGCACGATGGTCGTGCCAGGGTTAGAAGGCGACGTGGTGAAAGGAGGAATCCACAGTTTTTTGTTGAAAGACATGTTCATCACACTGTTGGAGTTATGGTTTGGGGTGCTATAGCTTATGGTTCCAGGTCACCTTTAATCTTCATCAGAGGTAACATGAACGCGCAGCGTTATATCCACGAAGTTCTAGATCCCCATCTTTTAGCCTATCTTGACACCCTGGCAGATCCAACATTCCAACAAGATAATGCCGGACCACATGTTGCAAGAGTCACAATAGACTTCTTTCAACATAATGATGTCACATTGTTACCATGGCCACCAAGATTTCCCGACTTATCCCCAATTGAGCAAGTGTGGGATATGATGGGTAGGAGATTGCTCAATTTGCAACGTCCTCCTCAGACTCTAGAAGCACTTCGAGAGGAGTTGGTGGTTGCCTGGAATGAGATACCACAGGAGGACATTGACCACCTGATCAGAAGCATGCCTAGGCGCGTTGGAGAATGCGTAGCACATCAGGGTGCATCCACACATTATTAAAGGTCAAAGGGCTTTAAAGCAGTGCAATCATTTTGAAATTTTTATCATTTACTTATTATGCTTCATTAAGTACCTACCATACAAAATTTTATTAAAATAAAACCATTTAAACTGGGTGTTCGGATTTATATGTCACTTAGTATATTTTTTAAGCGATAACCCTAGATTGAAAAATCACGCGATCAAGTTTGCTTGGAGATTGATTTACGATTTCAAAAATAATTTTAATTTGAAGAGGATCCAGTAGCATATCATCAACTGTCCGCAAAAATTGCTAGGTGAAATCACACATGAGCGCTAGAGGAGCAAATTAAAAACAAGTTACATTGAAAAATGCTTCTTGTACATGTAAGTATATGGCCAAACCTCGGGAAATATAAGGTCGTATTACAGATATTGACGAAATTTTATTTATTTTTGAAAACTTTACTGCCCTCTATCTCATAAGTTAAGGCGTTGAGGACATCCAGTCATATGAAGCTTCCTAAAATAGACTCAAATATTCGCTCCCTCTGATATTAATATTTAACTAAGAAGCACAGTATAATTTCAAAAGATTAAAATTTTGTATTGAGAAACCCACCCTATAAAGTTGTCAAGAAGGTATTTATAAAATCACTCAGGCTGAGCATACGGCGTTTAGTGAACTTCTGGAATTTAATCAAAACAGGTGGAGCGGCTGTTGAGTTTGTGCAGAAAATATTTTCTTAATATGCTGGGTATACAGCTTATTAGATTTATATTAAGCATTTCACCATCTAGATATTTCACGGTATAGTAGAAACTTCTTAAGTAAGTTAAATTGAATACGTTTAAGAATAGGGTCCGAGATTTCTCAAAAATGTGTTCTTCAAAACCGATTCTACTATCTCCAGCAACAGCCAAGAACTTAACATACATTTTAGACGTATTTCCGTCTGTGTTCATTCAATTTTTGAAAATATATGATGAGTGAAATATGTTTAATAGGTGCGTAGAATTACCGGAGCTGGGGGCATCTAAATACATCAACGTCAAAAAAATTGAGATCGAGCCTCCCGCATCCCCCGCAACCCCTAACCACCAATTTGTAATCCTTACAAAAATCTATTTTTTAGTTTTTGGCGTTTTTATCCGGCGAAAATTTTGTGAATCGTGAACCTTGATTCTGTATGGTGAGATAATGCTCAAGATAGTATTCCAAATTTGAAACTTCTGAAAAATGATTCTACTACCTCTTTACCGAAAAATTCAAGAGGTTCTATATTATCCATTATGTTGTGTGTTGAAGATTAAGTAGGAACAGCCTATTTAACTTTTTTGAGTTTGTCTTTTGAGTAGCCTGAAATTGCTTTTTTCAGGTGCCTCAATAGAGACATTGCTTTGGGCTCAAAAGCCACAAATGTCTATATGATACGCATCTAAACACTGCCGCTGGATTTTTTTAAAATTTCTCGTTGAAATAATCTTCAAATGTGCTCTTAGTGACTAACAGACCTCTGATACGGACTAGAAGGTGCCCTTGAAATGATTTAAAAGAAGCCTTCAAGTGCCACACTAACACCTATGTAAAAAACTTATAAAACGTCAAAAAGAAAAAACAACGAAATGATATCTTGTAGACTAGGTAGTTTTTAGGGTGCAAATATACTAAGTGACATATAAATCCGAACACCCAGTTTAAATGGTTTTATTTTAATAAAATTTTGTATAAGTACTTAATGAAGCATAATAAGTAAATGATAAAAATTTCAAAATGATTGCACTGCTTTAAAGCCCTTTGACCTTTAATAATGTGTGGATGCACCCTGATGTGCAACGCATTCTCCAACGCGCCTAGGCATGCTTCTGATCAGGTGGTCAATGTCCTCCTGTGGTATCTCATTCCAGGCAACCACTAACTCCTCTGGAAGTGCTTCTAGAGTCTGAGGAGGACGTTGCAAATTGAGCAATCTCCTACCCATCATATCCCACACGTGCTCAATTGGGGATAAGTCGGGAGATCTTGGTGGCCATGGTAACAATGTGACATCATTATGTTGAAAGAAGTGTATTGTGACTCTTGCAACATGTGGTCGGGCATTATCTTGTTGGAAAGTTGGATCTGCCAGGGTGTCAAGATAGGGTAAAAGATGGGGTTCTAGAACTTCGTGGATATAACGCTGCGCGTTCATGTTACCTCTGATGAAGATTAAAGGTGACCTGGAACCATAAGCTATCGCACCACAAACCATAACTCCAACAGTGTGATGAACATGTCTTTCAACAAAAAACTGTGGATTCCTCCTTTCACCACGTCGCCTTCTAACCCTTACACCGACGTAATCGCCTTGAGTGGTGCAGACAACGGTCACTCTGGGATCGGGAATGGAACAGTATTGTCTTTAGTGACGAGTCTCGATTTTGTTTAGGCATGCACGATGGTCGTGCCAGGGTTAGAAGGCGACGTGGTGAAAGGAGGAATCAACAGTTTTTTGTTGAAAGACATGTTCATCACGCTGTTGGAGTTATGGTTTGGGGTGCTATAGCTTATGGTTCCAGGTCACCTTTAATCTTCATTAGAGGTAACATGAACGCGCAGCGTTATATCCACGAAGTTCTAGAACCCCATCTTTTACCCTATCTTGACACCCTGGCAGATCCAACTTTCTAACAAGATAATGCCCGACCACATGTTGCAAGAGTCACAATAGACTTCTTTCAACATAATGATGTCACATTGTTACTATGGCCACCAAGATCTCCCGACTTATCCCCAATTGAGCACGTGTGGGATATGATGGGTAGAAGATTGCTCAATTTGAAAAGTCCTCCTCAGATTCTAGAAGCACTTCGAGAGGATTTGGTGGTTGCCTGGAATGAGATACCACAGGAGGACATTGACCACCTGATCAGAAGCATGCCTAGGCGCGTTGGAGAATGCGTAGCACATCAGGGTGCATCCACACATTATTAAAGGTCAAAGGGCTTTGAAGCAGTGCAATCATTTTGAAATTTTTATCATTTACTTATTATGCTTCATTAAGTACTTATACAAACTTTTATTAAAATAAAACCATTTAAACTGGGTGTTCGGATTTATATGTCACTTAGTATAGTTTATTCCACGTTTGCTCGCTATGGGCATCCATCTAGGGACACGGATTGTTT